GTGCCTCATTTAATTATAACTATGACTTACGACTGCGATTCTAGAACACTAGAGCAACACACCAGGGCAGGGCATGAAATAGTTGTTTCCAACACAAAAACTGGACTGGTCAGTACTCTCTCTTAAATCAGACTGCAGCAACTTGTTTCAATTAAGGGAGTTGATCTCTGCTTGGCAAGGAGCCTCATTGAGCTTCTTTGCTTTGCTCTCTGCTCTAATCCCGGAGGCCCAGGGTTTGGATGCCATATTTCACTATCTGATCTTAATAATAATAATAATAAAGTTGGAAGGGACCTTGGAGGTCATCTAGTCCAACCCCCTGCTCAGGCAGGAAACCCTATACCATTTCAGACTAATGGCTGTTTAGTCTCTTCTTAAAAACTTCCAGTGTTGGAGCATTCACCACTTCTGGAGGAAGGTTGTTCCACTGGTTAATTGTTCTCACTGTCAGGAAGTTTCTCCTTAGTTCTTGGTTGCTTCTCTCCTTGATTTGTTTCTATTTCTAATAAGCTTCTGGTGATTCCTGTCTTGGTGCCTCCTGGGGCTGAAATTCTGCTGGTTCAGGTGGTGCAGTTTCTTTAGGGTCAGAGTCCGACCCCTGGTGTAAGGCAGTGATTGCTCAAGCTTATACACAAGAATCTTGTCACCAAAAGTTCAAATCTGAATCAGAGCCAGATAAGCATCAACGGAATTCAAGGTGAGCTGAATATGGATCCTTTTGGGGGACATAACAACTGTAGGCTGATTATTTACTTAACTCTCTCTCTCCACCAGTTTTGCCTGTTCTTCTCCTACATTTTCATGCATTTTAATATTCATCCATTATGGTTAATGGGATAAGGGAAAGGTATTACGGATTTACCACATGTGGTGGGATGTACATTATCACAGGAGGGAGGGGGTCTTCGCCAAGGAGTAATAGGCACGTCGACCAAGAATCCTTGGAATGAAGGAAGAGGCACAGGGTGGACCCTCCTGCAGCCTTTCACAGAGTATATATAATAGGTATGTATATTGTGCTCTAGTCTGGCAAGATTCCTGCCAATGGGTGAGCAACAATAAAGAAACTGATCCGAGTAAACCTCTGTGTCTTTCTTGGTTCCTTGCTCCTGACACCACCTTGTTTTTAAGAGAATGTCAAAGGAAAGTAGAAAGAAAGAGACCCACCAGTACCTTCCCCAAAGGCCATGGGGACCTATTGCTCCCTTTAGGAATCTTCACCTTCCAGACACACACAAAAAAAAGTCCTTCCAGGTTTTGTCTGTTTGGTTGAACCAACCAGAAAAAAGACTGCATTTGGTTAAATATATATCCTCACCAGCAAGATTGGCACACAGCACTAAACAGTCAAAATGGTGGAAGCCTACATTGTTTCTTGGAGCATTAGCTTAACAAGCCACTCAGAGTCACCTTAATGCAGATATAGGCAGCATACAAACTTAATAAATAATAAAAGTATATTGCTGTCACAGTTAACAATGGCTACCATAAGATGCTCTTCCTCTAAGTGTCTCGTTTCCAGGAATTTGAGATCCATGTTAATCTGCATCTCAGGCTGGTACATTTTGGTTTATTCTTCTTTAAGATAAGATTATATCGTTAACTGCTTCTTTTGCATGCTTTCTGCAAAGTTGCAAAATTCAGAGAAGAACATCAGACAAGTTATTTTTATTTCTCTCAAAAAGTTTGCAACTTGGTCCAGCTCAGTTCCTCTTTCTGACTGTAACTGCATCAAGTGCCAACTACCGGGATTCACTGGAAAAAGATCTTAGATTCCCAAAGAGACCAGCTGGTTCCATCTGGAGATTCTTCCCATTATCACCAGGTATGTCTGCAGTAAAGGCAGAGTTTGTGTTGGAGTAATTTATTATCTGCAAAATGTTCCTTTTTGAGACCAGGGTAGGACTAGGAGTTCATTAGTATGGGGTCAGCTAATCCAGAAGAGGCTTCTGCCCCTTAATGGAGCTCAATTGAGCAGCATTTTTTTCCTGTATGGTATGATAACAATCTTCTCATATCTGACTTCAGTCAATCTTAATAAGTATAGAATCAAGATCATGTGAAGTGTTGATACCACTTTACAATGCCTTGGTAAGGCCACACTTGGAATACTGCATCCAGTTTTGGTCACCACGATGTAAAAAAGATGTTGAGACTCTAGAAAGAGTGCAGAGAAGAGCAACAAAGACGATTAGGGGACTTGAGGCTAATACATACAAGGAACGGTTGCTGGAATTAGGTATGTCTTGTTTAATGAAGAGAAGGACGAGGGGGGACATGATAGCAGTGTTCCAATATCTCAGGCGCTGCCACATAGAAGAGGAAGTCAAGCTATTCTCCAAAGTGCCTGAAGCCAGGACAAGAAGCAACGGAAGGAAACTAACCAAAGAGAGAAGCAACCTAGAACTAATGAGAAACTTCCTGACAGTTAGAACAATTAACCAGTGGTACAACCTGCCTCCAGAAGCTGTGAATGCAACACTGCAGGTTTTTAAGAAGAGACTGGACAATCTTTTGTCTGGAATGGTATAGGGTTTCCTGCCTGAGCAGGGGGTTGGACTAGATTTATTTATTTATTTATTTATTTTATTTATTTATTTATTTTATTTTATTTTATTTTTACCCCGCCCTTCTCCTTACGGACTCAGGGCGGCTAACAGCCTAATAAAAGACAGATACAAAAATACCAAAGTACTATCATTAAAAACATAATTAAAAGGAAATATTAATTTGGCCTTTGTAGTTTAAAAATTATTTTAAAACCCAGCTAAAAATTACCCCTTAGGCCAGTCCTGCTAGCTGAAATAGCCATGTCTTAAGGGCGCGGCGGAAGGAAGGGAGATCCGGGATAACCCTGATCTCTGGGGGTCATCTTGGAGATGACCTCCAAGGTCCTTTCAACTATTATTATTATTATTATTATTATTATTATTATTATTGTTGTTGTTGTTGTTGTTGTTGTTGTTGTTGTTGTTGTTGTTGTTGTTGTTGAAGAGCCGTGGTGGAGCAGTGGTTAGAATGCAGTAGTACAGATTAATTCTGCCAACTGCCAGCAGTTCGAGTCTCATCGACTCAAGGTTGACTCAGCTTTCTATCTTTCCTAGGTCAGTAAAATGAGGACCTAGATTGTTGGGGGCAACAGACTGACTCTGTACACCACTTAGAGAGGGCTGTAAAGTGCTATGAAATGGTATACACGTCTAAGTGCTAATTGCTATAAAATAGCTAGGAACATCGAAGCATTTTAAACAGTGTTTGGAGCATTTTGTTTTAGAGCAAAATTTGAAATGAGGAAATCTGTTCATTCAGCTGCTCCCAGCTAATAACTAAGATCCATAAAAAATGGTTTAACTCTTTTAATCCATGAGTTATTTCGTCAGGTCATCTCTACAGAGAGCTGTTGCTATTGTTAATTTTTTCTAATCTCATACCACTAATTGTTAGCTTATATCATTCCGGGAAAAAAATCTTATTTTTTAAAATTCCCTTTTAATGGTTGTTTGTCTTTTGGCCTTTTGATTTGTTTGGTTTTAAATTGTAAATAAATTTTATTGCTTGATTGAAAGGTAGGAAGGGCTACCCTTGTTTTGTGCGAATGGCAAACCGACAATGGCTTTGAATTCCCCAAGAACACAATTCCTTTCAGCCATTTTGATGGTCAGAAGTTCGTTTTCTTTTAATAATTGTATTTTCCCTTCAATTACAGTGCTCCGGGTTGTCCACCTTATCCACGGATTTGAAGTGTTCTAAGCAAGCAAACACTTTTTGCATAATGGAGGAGGAATTTGATTACTCAGGAGGTATGAACAGCATGAAAACTATATTATATAACATATTTCCTTTCCTTTGTGGGTACTATTGATAACGAAAACCTCAAGGGTTCATGAGCTTATTCCAGAATTGAGACTCTAGGAGCAAATCATGAGTTGGGAATTGCATTGGCATTTTGAAAACATTCAGTGGGTGCATTCACAAAATGGCCTGTGATGGAATTATTCATATAGTAAGCCTTACGGTGAATTTAAGAATATCAACACACTGATACCTGTCACTTCCTACAGGCAACGTCAACCTGGAATTGAAGGGATGAAATCAACCTCTTTGTTCTTTAATTGGGAAAAAAAAAAGATTAGATGCCCAGAAGAATTTCTATAAATGAAGGAATAACAAGAGTGGGGAAAATACTTTCCTTTTTAAAATGAGCACTTTTAAAATTATTTTGAGTTAATTATCAGGTTAAATAATTAGAGGATCACAAAGACTGATTATTGGCAAATAGCTATCTGGGCAACGATGGGGGAAAAATCTATTGGGGATTATTTTATTTATACATTCGGAGACTCCCATTCAGAAAGAAACGAATTAATGTGGATGAAGTTTATAAAGCACATTAACGTTTTTCTGCCTGCCAGAGGCGTAGCGTGGGGGGTGCAGGGGGGGCCGGCCGCACCGGGCGCAACATCTGGGGGGCGCGCTCGCACTCGCAGCTCTCTGCCCCTGCCTGGCTCACTCACTCTCTCTGCAGTGCTGGCTGTGCGAATCTGATCCGAGCCGCCGGGTCGCCGACGCCGCCCACTGTGGAGGGGGGGGTGCCTTGCCCCGGGTGCTGACAACCCACGCTACGCCACTGCTGCCTGCTGTTATTGATCAAAATAATGGTTTACTATTATTGCTTCCTTAGGTAAT